GGCGCCGAGGTGAGGCCGTTTGAACCCTGAGCTGGGTGGAAACGGGCTGTAATTGCCACCTCAAGGATGTTTTTGCGCTGGCTCTGTGCAGAAAAAGAGCTTTCCAGGGACCTGCTCTCGGGTCCTGCAGCCGCTTTTCATCTTCCCTTTTAATGTTGCCCTTTTGTTTTTCGGCTCCTTCCCTCCTGGCTGATCACGCTGATGTTCAAATTGATAGTTGAGGTTCCAGCCTTGCATCCCTGCAAGCCTCAGCTGGGGGCCGCGGGGAAATTGCCGCCTTTGTCTAATTCTCTCCAATCTGAAATGGATTCCGTTAAATTGGTGCCTTCCACTGTTATTAAAGAAAATGCTGTATTAGCTCATAAGCTGGCAGTAATGAAATGTGTACGAAATCAAGGTGCTTTTGCAGCGGAGCAGTCAGGAGAGCGGTTTGGGTGGAACACGCCGATCCGGGCTCTGCCCCCGGGGGCGGGAGGAGCAGCATCAGGCCCCAGCCCTGCTCTCACCCCGAGGGACAGTTCCCGAGGTTTTGGAACGATCGCGTCTCTGTTTTTCGGTACAAAATAAGGCAGGAGGTGGGTTTCTCCCTAGTGTTTCTCGCTGATCATGAAGCGACACTGACAGCGAATTGCTCCCTCCTTGGTGCCCTCCGAGACCCGCAGGGACCCCGTCGAGCGGGGAGAGGGAGCCTCGGGGCGCACGAGGGCTGATCTCAGCGATTTCCCCACCAAAACCTTGGTGTTTAGCCCAGGCTGGTGGGGACGGAGGAGCAGGACGGGGCGCCGTCGGCCCTGCGGGAGCCGGGATGCTGCGTGGCATCGCTGCAAGCTCCCTCCGGGCTCATGCCGGTGCCCAAAATCGAGTGAGACATTTTTCCAGCTCTCCCTCCTCACCTCCATCCTCTTTCTTTTGAAGAACCTTGAATTCCCTGCCTACGTTTTGCTTTTATGGACCTAAAAGGACTTTTGTCTTTTATCTGAGAAAATAGTTGGTGCTGGGAGTTGGGCTATTGTAGAGCAGGAGCTCAAAAAGGCAGAGGGGGAGAAAAGGCAGAAGACAACTATAAAACAGTCATTTGGGAACTGATATTGCATTCTCGCTTCCATCTAAGGTGGTGGGGAGAGAGAGAGAGGAAAGCTCTTTCTGTTTGTTTATTAAAATACAACTTCCAGTTCGTAGCCTGGAGATCAACAGGTATTTTCGAGGCTTTGGTTTCAAAGGGGCTGGGAATAACGAGCTCTGCCGCCCAGGCTCGCCGGCTGCCGCGGTCGCCCCAGCCCTGGCCGCGCTCCCGAGTCCTGCCCCGAAGCCAAACTGTGGCCCTCAGAGCTGGCGTTCAGTCCAGCTGTGCATGCATTGGGTTGGATCCAGATGTGCACCCACGGGTGGGATGCAGGTGTGAGAGGTGTGGGCAAGATCCAGATGTGCGGCCGTTGGGCTGGATCCAGATGTGCGCCCCTGGGGTTGGATCCAGATGTGCGGCCCAGCCCGCGCCCGTGAGCCCCTCCGCTGACCTCCGCGCTGCCTGCCCCGGCCTCTGTCGCCAGCTGCCTGCTGAGGAAGCACGGATTCGCTTAAACCTGACCACTTTGCAGAGGAAAAATCGTGGGCTTTGACGGATGTCCTCTGGAAAGGCAGGTCCGCGTGGAACGCGCTCGCTGCCAGGAGCATGCAATTTTCATCCCCATCATGACTTGTTTCCTTGCTGGTTGGCCGGGCGGGGACCGCGCGCGTCCGGGATGTATTGCTTCGGGGAGCCTGGCTAGCAGATTGCCCCAGCTGCTGCCAGCATCCCTGCCGGGAGGCGCTGGCTCCGGTCACGGCTTGGGGTCGGCTCTGCAGCGAGAAGCCTGGAAGCATCTCCAGCTCGGAGCTGCGGGCTGTGTGCTAGAGGCAGGAGGGCACCGTTTTCCCTTTCTTTCCACCTCGTCAAACCTGGAAGCGAGACGCTTGCGGCAAAGCGCGGTGCTTCGGACCGCGGAGCCCAACGCGGAGCCGCGCGGCCGGCAGAGCGATGGGGTTTTGCGTGCGGAGGTGAGCGTGTCTCTGACCCGTTCCCCCCATGCCCTCCCTCGCACACGTTCCCCAGATACTCCCCAGATCTCCCTCTTGCGCGGACCCTCCCGCAGGCCTCGTGGCCGTCCCCGGCAGCCCCGCTTCCCGCACCTCCGCGGGCAAGGCAGGGAGAAGGGAGGGCGAAAAGGCGCAGAGCAGCCTCCCCGTTCCCTCCCCAGGATGAGCCATCGCTAGACGAGCGCCTCGCGTGCTGAGCAGAATTTTAATCGTGTCTCGTGCGCCGGTTCCTCGTCACAGATACCCGACGAGCAGATCAGAGCCCCTTGGAAAGAGCATAAAGCAGATTGTCACTGAGAATAATCCTATTTGTGCCGTGATGGAGATTCCTTCCTCCTCCTCTCCCGCTCCTTCTCTCCCTGCTTTCGTCTCGTATCTTGCAGATAGAAGAGCGGCTGCTCCTTTCCAAGGGCCTTTTAGCATTCAGGTGCAGTCGCGGGTTTATAACACCGGTATTGCATTTAATAGAGAGAGAGAGAGAGACTGGAGTGGAAGAGGGGAAAATAAGAGAGAAATAAAGGCAAAACTGTGAGATGCAGCCGGGGAACAGCCCGAGAGGCAGAGCCCGGGGGGGGCGGACGGGGGTGAGGGGGCCGGGCCGCCACCGTGTTGGAGCAGGATTGCACCAGCTTTTAGCCAGGGAGGTGCCAGTGCGAATCGCTCTCAGTAGACAGCAGACAGCAAAATTTCAGGCTCCCCAGCTGGGCTGCTTGATCTCCTAACACTCCCCAGGGCCAGCTGTCTCTCCCGAGACCCCTGCATACCCCAGGCCTCTCCCCAGCTCCCCCCAGCCGGCCCCCACCTCTCCTTTGCTGCTAATTAAGCTAATTGCTTAATGCAGGAGCTGTGATTGGTGAGGCCGGCTGGAGCCGGGGCTGAGTATA